TCCTCCCCCAAGGAAATAACCCTGAAAATATGATGATCTATGATATGACATTTGTCACACATTTGTCCAATCTTAGTGGCTAGAATTTGGTCTGGTCCTCAGCACATTATAAATATCACAGTTTTGCTCTAATATCATTGGTTTTATTTTCTCAGTTTGAGTAGTCTTAGAGAAATTATGAGAAAAAAGAGTTCTTAGGTGATGATAATTAAAAGCCCATCATGCATACTGAAAAAAAAAAACATACTGAAGAAAAAGCACACTTTTGTTCTGGGCTGTCTTCTTGCAGTAGCACTAGTCAGAAGACTGGAGCTCATTTGCAGGACCTGTATCATCTATAGTATAAACAATGCAAGTTCCAGGCCTTGAGAGAGTCACTCCCTGAGAGTGCTTGTTCTTCTATACAGTGATGGTTTGAGTTAGATAGCCTGTAAAACACCATGTATCTAAAAGTATCTTGAGAGTCAGGGGAAGGTCAATTTGCTTACCAAGAGTTTCATTCTTCTTAACTTTTGAGACAGGATCTCACTATGCAGTCCCGGCTTGCTTTGACATTGCTGTTAAGTCAGAATGGCCTTAAACTTTCCATAGTCCTACCTGTACCCCTCACCAAATGCTATGATTACAGGCATATGACACGCCATATAAAAAAAGTACTTCATGCCATACAAAAAGCACTTTTATTGGACCTTTTTCATTGTATATAGTCTAAAGGACTGTTTAGTGTAAAAGTAAATCTCCATTTATATAAACTATGAAAGCAGATGTAAAGTTTGAATTTGTCTAGCTGAGAATGTTTAACTGTTTTGATTTTACTTCCTATTTGTTTTGATGCTTTGACCTTTGAATTAAACTGTGATTTTTCTAAAAGTTCATTTTGTCTTTAAAGTCCCATCACTACTGTTCTCAGAAGTAAATAAAGTAATTCCCTCTAGAAGTTTGCCTCTCCTGAACTTAATTATGAAACAGCTAATATTGTATGCAAAGTAAAAACCTGGGCACTTCAGAAAATGAGAGTAAAAGAGTAAATTAAAGTAATAATAAAGCAAAATATTACACAAGAGACATTCTAAGATGAAATGATTTACTTTAGAATTGCCCACTCTCTATAGAGACAGAATTTATTATTAATGCAACTGATTATAAAGGATTATGATCATTCGTATAGTCTCTGCTTTTTCATTTGATTAGAAGTGGATCATGTTTCTGGTGGCTTTTTATTGCAGCTGTGACTTAGCATGATGTTTAACCAAAGTACATTTCTCAATTAGTATATGTTGGATTAAATATTAGCATTTTTAAATTTTTTTTGAGATATTAGGATTTTGTGAGGCATTTAAAATTTATATACTTCTAAAAGTCTAGAACAATGGAGTTACATCTACCCCATCCCAATTATCTTATATATTCAGCATAGAAGACTTAGAAGGAATAAATCACTCATCCAAAGTCAATAAAAATTTAGTGGCAGAGCCAGAATTCAGTGGAATATAGGTATTTAACTCTCAAATCACTGCTTTCTTTAGTATGTCAGACTGCCTCCGTAACATGACATTTTCAATTTCAAAACCTGACTTTTCAGTTACTGGGAAAATAATATATAATATCGTATACTAATAAGTTGGAAGAAGAAAATGTAATTTGGTAATCAAAGGAAAACTAATGGCAAATTTTTCTTTTGATTGTGTTGAGCGTTGTGGCACAATTATTCTACTCCAGTATTCTCCATCCCCATCCTTAGTTTATATTCTGCTAGAAACCTCATTAATGAACATTGCCACTCAGATAATTATCACAAATAGAACCAGACCTTTTCTTATTTAAATTAAGTCTGTGTGGGAGAGTTTATTTGAGGGTTTATTTTTGTGTGATCTCATAATATTTGGAATTACTGCAACATAATATGGAATTTACCCCCTGAATATTGGGTGACAGGGCTCTAAAAATACTGAAAAAGATTTTAAATTATTCACTAACACATCCATTTCCATCTTTAGCAAGTGCTTAGTCTATTACTGTTCTGGTTTTAGATTTGCTGTTAAAATAAATGATCAGAATTTTACAGGACAAATACAGATCAGATTCATTTTTCATTCAGATTGGATATATGTGATGAAAAATGGCTCAGACTTGTTGAGATGACTCACAAATATTAGGGATACAACTACAATTAATAGGTAGAGGAGGCAGAATTAATGTTTGAAATTATTTGAATTCCACAATCATTATTAGTTTGCTATTATCATTATGTGAATAGTTTGGCTAATTAATGAAAGAAATATAGACTGATTACCACATCAGTCAATTGGATCAGTACTAGAAATATAAATATGGATATAATTACGTTTAATATACCCAGTAACTTAAGATACGATGGAAACATTGAGACTGTTGTATATGTTCTATATTTTCATAATCCAGTTATAATATTTACAGTATATAGTAAGTTACTATAACACTAAATACTCCAAAAATGTAGTGGTTTTTATCAAGGGGCTAGTTTTTTCTCTATATCTTGTAGGAGGAGATCCAGTCTTCTCTACCAGAATCCTTTGCGCCAGGAGTTCATTCAGGGATCCACTTACTCCTATTGAGTTGCTTAAAGTTCCATTCAGTTATGGTTGCAGCAGAAAATCTAGGACTGGAGTTAAATGTAGTCATTTCTATCAGGTCTAGATGTGGCTCTTTGGGATCTGGAGTCAACCCAACACAAGTTACAAGCTTCTACTGCTCCCAGTATGTGATGGTGAAGCAAGCACAGTATCAGTGCAATAAAACAACACCCACTTCAAAACGCAGAAAGTGGAAGTCATGCAATGGTTTTGGTCCGTAGTGAATATTCATTTCTCTTGGAAAGAAATTGTGAATACCCCCATATTGCGTGTGGTTTACTCAATTTCCAACTGCTTCCTTAAAGCGTTGACTTAGTGTGTTTGAGACATTCTTCCTTGTCCACTGTCTACATCAGAAAGGGAGAGGGAGTTTTTGCTTCTTGGTGCACCTTTAGGGTATAAAATATTTTTATTTAGGTCAAACATGATAGGTCCTTCTATACCAACTTGTGATTGCTATATCAGTAAGGTGTTTTTTTTTTAACTTTAAGAGGATTTTTGCCTATTTGCATCTAATTAGTTCCAAGTAATCACAAAGACATTTTTTGGAAAAATGTCTACATAATCCAAACACTCATTCTTTTTATTTATTGTCTTCTATTTTCAACTCATCTGCTTCTCTTAATATCACTGCCTTAATGCTCTCTTAAACTATTGATCTTTATCAGTAGGCTAAATTTGAGGGTAAAGTTGATATGTTCTTTGGGATACAGAAATAGCTTTCTCATCCCCTAAAGTCCCACATCCCTGGAATTTTAATCCATTGCATTGTTCATGACATGAAGAAGTACTTTCCATTAGCTGAGCTTTATTCCTTTACATTTCTGTTTGGAAATGGCCCATTTCTTAGCTAACTTTATCTGATACATGTTGTAACATTTTGGTAAAAGTTGTAAGTGGCAGCTAATAGCACAAAAATCTGTACTTGATAGTAATGTGGCTTATTTCCAAATAGGTACAATTATCAAAATGGTATTTCAAAAGGCATCACTTTCTAGCTTACAGTGTTGTCATATCTATCCATCACCTAATATGCTAAAGTTATACCAATCATTATATTTTTATTATGAAAGTAACTCATTTACAGCAATGAATTTCTATAGCAGAAGATAAGTTGAACAGTTTTAACCTAAAGTGCTATAAATGAAGTAGAACTTTTTCTCTTCATTGAGAGTCAAGAAGGTGAGCTCTGTATAGGTTTCATCTACAAAGTCATCAAGATTTTTAGTATCTTATTTCTTTACTATCTTTCACACTATTGTCTTTACATTCATATATTTCTAGCCTATGAGAAAAAGAAAAATGGAGTGCAGTTTCCTTTGTAATAGGGATATTCATATCTTTCTGCTCACATCATATTTACCAAAACATTTGTAATTCCCACTCTTAACTGAAAGAGCATCTAGGATGAGTAATCAAGAGCTGGGCAGTGATGATATAGCTGCAACTCTAAGCGTTTTATTACTAAAAGGAAGAAGAGTCAAATGATAGATCTGTGTTATTCAAGTGAAAACTCATGCTTATGAAAGCATTTGAGTAGCAAATAATTGCTCCACAGTGTAGTAATTGAGTAAATATGATTTTAAAAAAGATTTTGAAGACCAGAAGATAGTACTGCCTTCTATAGGAGATTGAATCAACAGAGGATCCAGGTAAAGAACTAATAGAACCTCAAGAGATGGTATAAAGGAATTAAGCATGAAAATCTGTCTTCTTAACCAAGAGTTTTAATTGTAGAAGAATGTAGAAACCTGTGCAGCAAGATCTTTTTTAAAACGTTGATCCTATGCGCTATTTTTTCTCAATCCCTGGTACACCTCTGATAATCTAGGCTGCTCATGCATGAGTTTGTTATTTTGGGAGGTGAATTCTCAGGAAAGTTGGTAATAAAATACAGGATACACAGTGTACAAAGTACATATTAATTACATTCTATTCTATGTATATAATTTTTGTTTTGATAGAATTTTATATCAATAATAATTTTTCTGTAAATGTCACACAGTTCTAAAGTGTGAGGAATCTGGAATCAGAATAATAAACTAATTATTATTTTATTCAAAAATACCCACTGACTAGGGCCTGCAAGGCAGTTGTGCTAGTCCTGTAGTTACCAAGATGAATTATACACTTTCCTTATTCTCAAGGAATCTGATTCTCACCCAAGAAACAAATGAGTCATTTTGCATTTTACAGTGAGATACGCACTAATATTAGGGACATGTAAACTGTTTTGTTGATATAACTAAGAGTCAATCAAATTGTGAAGATGAGAATGAAAACAAAATGCTTCGAATCTCCTGTCTCAGATGTTTGTGGAGTAGGAAGGAAGTTTGGCTGAAGTTTAAACTCCCTGGGAGTTTGGTGAGGAAGAAGAAAACACAAAGGTCAAGTTTTTGTTTTTTTATTTTTACTTTTTCTTGTTCTTGAAGTAGTTCTCCAAAATATTCCGATAAAAATTTTTGCCATAAGTTGTTCAATTATAATGAGTTGATGAGTATTGAGTTTTCATTTTGAAACCAACCCAAACTGTTATTATTTTAGACGTTTATTCACTAACTTTTCATAAAATATATTTGGAGCACCCGCTATATACTAGGATCTAGACAAAGAAAGAACTTTTCTTGTTCTCTGTGTTGGTTACTTTTCTTTCATTGCTGGGACAAAATATCAACACCCCAAATTAAAGAAGAAAAGATTTATTTATGCTCACAGTTTGTGAGGCTTCAGATAACAATCAGCTGGCTCCAAGGCAGGGTGGCATGGCCCAGGCTGTTCGTGGTGGCAGCAGATACTAAAGGTAACAAGAATATAAAGGGGGAGAGGGGAACAAATCTCTTTTCCTCCTTTATCTTGTACAAAGACCACCTTCCCTCCAGGGCTAGTGTAGCACTCATAAAATCTTCTTACTCTCCTCTTGCACAAGATGAAGACGTTTACCAAGTAAGAACCTTGGCTCCTTGATGAGTCTCTTAGTAAAACTTCTAAACTTCTCAAGTTGACACAATTGTATCAACCATACAATTCCTCCCTTGTCAACTTGGCAATTGCACATATTTTTTAAACCAGCCTTTTAAACCAGATACAAAGACATCCTTATTTTTGCCATTTCACAACTTGAACATTATAACACAGGTTTAACAATCCTTAAGAACCAGCATAAGTCCATTAATTATATTACATTAGAATGGTAAGAGTCCTAACAATTTCAGCATTGCTGAAAAGTTCAAGTCCTAAGTCTCTTCCAAGATACTAGGCAAACTGTTAGCTTCAAGCCCCTGTACAAATGAAAACAAAGTTAAATACTTCTAACATTCAATGCCACAAGATAAACATTACCATTCCAAAGGGTATAAATAGGGGGATACAAAGGAACCGGACCAAAGCAAGTCTAAAATCCAGAAGGGCAAACATTAAGTCCTGGAGTTCCCTGTGCATAATTTGAGGCAATCTGGAAAACTGTGAACTCCAAAGGGCTTGGGTGACTCTACCCCTGCAGCACTTCTGGTGGTTACAGAATCCCCTCCTTTGCAACTTTCCTTTGATAATCCATGCTTCTGGCTTTTCCAAACTTCTGGGGTCCCCACAGCACCTTTGCTTTCAGTCTCACAGTTTCACACGCTCCTTTCTCAGGGGCACACTGTCTGGCCTCCTAGGCCTTCTGAAGTTGAAGTATAAACCATTTTAACCTCAGAATTCTTGCATTCTGTATGTATCTAAAACCAGGACCACATGGATGATCCAAGGGCTGGTGCCAGCTGGAGCAGTAGCCAGGCTTTCCTCTCTCTTGGCAATAGGGGTCAAGTGTCTGTATTGCTAGGCACTCTGAATCTAATTCTAAAGAAATTTTTATACTGCTACCGTTCTGGAACATGATATAGCTGTTGTTATTCTGGCACATGGTACTCTGCAGCTTTTGCCTCAAAGCAAGGTCTTTCATTTTTGCAGTTTTGAGGCTGCAAAGATTTGAGATTTGCAACTTTTTGTGATGACTTCAAACCATCTTTTACATTTTCTGGTTCCTTCTCGCAATCAAGATTTCCTCAGCTCTATCTTTACAGTCCAGAGTTTTATTGGAACTTCCTTTCTGGCCAAATTTGCAGTGTTGTAAATCATTCTGTTGGGCTCTTTTCTCTTGGTTTGCAATATAGATCTGGCTAAAGCCACCAACAATAGCCATGCTACTGCATCAACGTTAGATTGCCTTGAAATTTCTTCTGTCAGATTAATTAGTCTTCTGCCTTCAATCTCAGTCTCAGGCAAAGTCTCTGAATAGAAGCAAAATGCAGACAAACTTTCTACCAAACCACAATACACATTATCTGGAGTCCAACAAACAATGCAATCCTTCCCAGAAGATATCTTTTCATAGCTTGGTTTTTACTAGTTTTCTGGTCTTCTGAGATTTGAACCAGAATCTCCCATACAGAGCAGCCTAAAGTGTTTCAACATTACTGTATCAGGTGATATTTCCAAACCTTTCCAAATTCTTACCATAAGCCTTTCCCAAAGGCTCTTGAACCATATGGTCAGGTATCATCACTGCATAACCCAACTCCTCTGGAACCAAATTCTGTTTTGTTTTCTTTTGTTGCTGAGACAAAATATCTCACTCATAAAATCTCCTGGCCTCCTCTTGCACAGGATGAAAGTGTTTATAAAGTAAGAATCTTTGATCCCCTGGTGAGTCTCTTAGTTAAACTTCTAAAGTTGACACATTTCATCAACCATAACATCCTCAAAGGACTCGTGTCTGAATGGGGAAACAATTAAGATATCACATTAACTAAACAAGTATGATAATTGCTCTGGGACAGAGTCTTGTGGATTAAGATTCACAAGGAAGAGGTTTCTGATTCAGCTGGGAAGAAAGCATACTTGGTTTAGAGACTAAGCAGCCTCACAGTTAGGTGGGACATGAAGCAAGGATAGTGTGAGCATATGGATAGAGATACGAGAAAACAGGAAGGAATAGAGAATAGAAAAAATTAAGCAGCATAGACAAGAAGTGTCAGTGTGAAATAATTGCTGGAACAGAATTTGAGGAATTCAGATTCTTCTAGATTTTGTTTCTTTCACTCAAAACAATTGCTACGCACCCCTTCATGTTTCATCCTGAGTGCTTGGGTCTAGGGAGATAAGAACAGACAAAAACAGATAAAGTTTTGGTGCAATTTATTTACTTTTGTATGTTTATTTTTTAGCAGTTTTACTGATATGTCTGATATTGTATATGGTTATGGTATACAACTGGATAATTCAACATACATACGGGTTATGAAGTGATCATTGTATGTTTTATCTTTTTAGAATTGTTTTGTTCTATGTAATCTAAAAGTTTGGCAAAGTGTTTAATATAGGAAAACTATAAAAATAAAGTTTATTATTATTCAGTTTTACTTACTCAAGGAGTTTTCACTGAAGATCTTAATTCTGTAGTCCTTAAATTGTCTTTGTAGTGTAAGCCTTGTCTTTCAACAAAGCAGTGATGCTGGCGGGCATAAGAACTCTCCATCCTCTCCAGTATTACTTTGGGAGCTGACCAAGCCACATCAGTGCATCACAGACATTCCTCAGTGACTACATCACAGGATGGTTATACTTGCTTTTGTACAGAAATGACAGTGAGCCACTGTCTGGAACTTGTCCCTAGACTTGTAAACATGAAGCATTTGGACCACTTTTCACTGGCCTCAGGTGGAATTGTTCCGTGCTAAAAGCTGCAGGGACACGGTGCAGTTTGCATTTTCTCTTTCTTGTCTCAGTTAGTTCGACGTCTAGGATTCATTACCAGTTATGCAGCTCACTGGAATGCACTTTTCTCCTTCTTGTTCCTAAGAAAAAGCACACAGGTTCTTGGCATTTTGAGTTTTAATGCTAGTCTCTCCTGCTAACCAGGTGTGAAAAAATAAAAATGATAAACTCAATCAAGTTACAAACTTCTTAGACATAATTCCTGAATACATATGAATATGTTTAATATAAATATATCCTTATTATATATTGTGTTTAACATAAACATTTATTTAAATACATAATAAAAACATATATCTACATGTTTATATAAACATTTAAATATTTATATTATAAAACATAAAATATATTAATATTATGAACATATAAAATATATAGTCATATTATAATGTAATTATTAAATATTTGTATGTTATAGCATAACTATGTATTTATATAGTTATAGATATAACTATTATATTGTATATTATTTATATACTTATTTATATATTATATGAATATGTTTGTCATGTATTTTTATATATATTATATATCATTTTTTTCCTACAGGTCACAATTTTAATAAAGTAGAAGCCTAAGAAACACTTTTTGAAATATTTTGATATTCAGTACATATTATGAAAAACTAGGAATGTCTCAATTAAATATATTAGCCTTAATTATCTCTAAAATTAACAACTTATAGTCCTTTTAATACACCAAGCTTTCCCATGCCCATGCATTTATTTAAATTTTCTCCTCTGCTTTATAGAACTTTCCCCCAACTATTCCTGCTACTGTCAAGTGTGGGGGATGAGGTGTCACTTTGTAGGCCCAACCCCCTCTAACCTGCAATTTACAATAGCCGCCCTGGTATGCGAGAAGGAGGTAGAACGGGAATGCCTGTTCTCAGTGAGCCCTCACCCTCTGGAATCCATACTGTGAGCTGGCTTTGTTTTGCAGAAGTCTTGAGGAAGTGGCTGGCCACCCTTTGTGACACTAACAGCAGACAAATTAACAACATTCTTGAGCTAATGAATTTCTTCCTGGGCTAGAGAAGTTGTGAGAACTGGTTGTGATTATTTACTTCACTTAGATAGTTTTAGAATAAACATTGTAGTCTGTCACGTTGTAGCTTGCCACAAAGAATGCCTTTTCACTACTTAATTATCTGGGCTCTGTGAATTGATCGGGTTTACTATATATGAATCCTAAAATAAAGATTGTGCGTACAGTGCAGTGCAGTGCAGTGTAACGCGGTGCAGACAGCAAAGGTGTCTCTCCTGTCTTTCTTTTCCAAGCGCTGTACCCCCCGTGTCCCGACAAGGCGTGCGTGTTTACCTTGCCCGGAGTTCAGAGTGCTCTAGACACTCACGACAAGTGGCGCCCGAATTCAGGGACTCCGAAGGTCGCTTAGGAAGGTAAGTATAATTTTATTACGGGGAAATGGGACAATCTGCTTCCTCTCCTTTCTTAAAAATTCTTAAACATTTATTATCTATATATGGCATATCGCTCAGGTCAGCTGACTTGGATATGTGTATTGATACAATTAAAGAATATAATCCTTGGTTTCCAGATGAAGGAACTTTGGATGTAGAAGTATGGAGGAAGGCAAGGGTTAGTATAGAAAGGGCTATGCAACAGGAGGAGAAGATTCCTTTACGTTTTTGGGCTATTTGGTCGGTTGTGTACTCTTTATTAAAAGCTATGGAAGATGAACATATTGTAGAAAATCTTCAACTAGAAATTAAGCCAGTTATTCAGGAATTGCCCCTCACAGAGGAGGAGCAGAATGTAGTTCAAAATGACGCTATCGCTTTAAGTAGTGAAAAGGCGTCCAAACTAAAAGTAAAATCCACTACAGCCGACTCAGCTTTAGCTGCCGCAGCAATATCAAATTATGACAATCGCCCAATTTTACAGGCTATACAGCATTTAACACAAGAGGTGAAACAACTCTCCGTTAAGCAGAACCCGCCTGTAGTTCCCTCTGCACCTCCTCCATCTAACCCTAATTGGAGTAAAGCCAAGCTAGCTTTGGCTGATTTACCAAAATTAGGGGATTCTGATGAGGAAAAGCCTGCCTTTGCTTTCCCTGTAATCAGACCTCAGCCAATAGATGGAGAGGCAGTTCCCCCTAGATGGGAAGCATTTAATATGGATGATTTAGCAAAATTAAAAAAGGCTGTAACCCTTTATGGCCCTCAGGCTCATTACACTAGAGAATTAATAACATCGGTAACAGATCAGTATGGTAATCTTGCTCCTTATGATTGGAAAGCCTTGGCCAAAATTCTTTTAAAAGAGCCAGAATATTTACAGTGGCACATGTGGTTTATGGAAGGTTGTGCGAAAAAGGCAAGACAAAAATGCTGATATAGTGATAGAAATGTTTTAAAAGATATTTTAAAAACTTTACCTCAATATTTTTCTCCGTTTGGACTTGTAATAGCACAGGATAAAATTCAAAAGGAAGAAGTTAGTCATTATTTGGGATATATTCTTACTAGACAAAAGGTGATTCCACAAAAAAATGTCTATTAGGAGAGATAAGTTATCCACTTTAAATGATTTTCAAAAATTATTAGGGGATATTAATTGGCTTCGTCCCACACTAGGTATTCCTACCCATGCATTACAGCATTTGTTTGCTACTCTACAGGGCTCTTCAGATCCATCCAGCCCTCGTTCTTTAACAACAAAAGCCGAGCAAAAATTACAGTTTGTAGAACAACAAATTAAGGATGCATTTTTAATTAGGATTGATCCTAAATTGCCTCTAACTTTATATATTATTAATACTTTTCAATATCCCTCTGCAGTTTTAGGTCAAAATGCTATGCCAGTAAAATGGGTATTCACTAAAACTAAGCAATCTAAAAATGTTATGCCTTATATTGACATGATTGCAGCTTTAATTATGAATGGTAGAGCTCGTTCTATAACTTTGATAGGAGAAGATATAAACAATATAGTTATCCCTTTAACTAAGGAACAATGGGAATATTTGTTGTCAATTACTGAAACCTTACAAATTGCTTTAGCAGATTTCATGGGAACTTTTTCATATCATTTTCCTAAAAGTAAATTATGGGATTTTTTTAGACGTCAACAATTTGTGGTTAATACCTTATTAGCTGTACAGCCAATTCCACAAGCTTTGACTATATTTACAGATGGATCTAAAAATAAAGCTGCATATTAGACTCAAAAATCTTACTGGGTACGTCAGACAAATTTTAACTCTGTACAACAAAATAAACTTTTTGCTATATTACAAGTGTTTTTAGATTTTCATAACCAACCTATTAATATTATAGCCGATTCGGCCTATTCTGTTGGAGTAGTGACAAATATCTATTCAGCTGTGTTATATTCTAATAAGCCTGCTTTATTGTCTTTATTTCAAAATTTACAAATACATGTTCAAAAAAGAAATCATTCTTATTTTATTACTCATTTACGTTCTCATTCTCAGTTACCCGGACCATTAGTATCAGGTAACAATGCAGTGGATTCCTTAGTTATGTTCACCATGTTAGGGCCGACGCCGCAGGGAAAGAGACCCCAAGGACTCAACTCTTGGTGAGGAAAAAAAGTTTATTTCCATGCGCATGGGGTCCCTCAGGCAAACAAGTGCAGAGGGGCCCCGAGGGGAATTTGTGTAGGGTTTTTAAAGGTACATGTAGGAGGCAAGCAAGTTTACAGAAGCAAATCGCATTGGTTAATTTTGAGCGGCGCAGGACCTGGCTAATGCTGATTTGAGGGTCTGGGGCTGAGTAACCATGGAGACCGAGGGTCTTGGGTTGACCTTAGAGTGCCAGGTGCTCCCTGGTCCTGTTTATACAGTACATTCTTTTTGGCCCTGCTCTGACTATCTCCTGGGAAAGGTTTAGGGAGTGAAGCACTCTTTACTGCTCTGTTCTGAGAGCTCCGGGGAGTTAGGGAGTCAACCCTTTCATTCCCTGCTCTGGGGAGTTAGGGAGTTAACCCTTTCATTCCCCGCTCTGGGGAGTTAGGGAGTTAACCCTTTCATTCTCCGCTCTGGGGAGGGGGTTGTAGCAGGGGGGTCGACTCTCACATTCCCCCCTTTTATTTCTCCAATGACTTTTAATCCTAAAAGTCCTGTATAGGTAAGGGGTCATATTGTTGACGTAGCACCATAACTTTTACCTGAGAGATCTGAGCCCTTACAAACCGGGTTACTCGGTTAATGAGGCAAGGGGCTATAGCCATGACTATAATGAATCCGGCCAGGGGTCTCAATAAAGGGAGGATATAGGGCAGAATTGATTCTCGGAAAGAGAACACTTTGGCTTTATTTGAAGGGGGCTCTTGAGATCTGATTTTCTCTCTCAACTTTTTTATTGTATCTTTTACAATCCCAGTATGATCAGTGTAAAAACAACATTTTTTTTTTTAAGTGCGGCGCAGAGACCCCCCTTTTTTTTTTTTTTTAAAACAAAAGATCTTTAACAATTGGTTTTTTTTTTTGCTTACAGGGGGACCAAAGCCGCCATGTAAGGTCGGCATTAATGTTATTAAAATCAAAACAAGCAAGCTAAAACAGTTAGTCAATTTTTAACTTTAAGGGTTACCAGTCTGTTGTGTAGTCCACTGAGTATGTCCCTCGTTGTCTGCTGTTTTCAGTGGCTTTACATGAGTGTAGTGAATCCGCGCAGTTTTTCCTGCTACCTTGATGGCAGTGGGGGTATTGAGCACCACGGTGAAAGGTCTTTCTCAGCGGGGTTTAAGGGAGTCACGGTGGTGACATCGAACCAAGACTGGAGTCCTTGAGGCCTTGGTCTCTGAAGGCAGGTCCAAGTGTTTTTGTCTAAACAGCTGGTGGATCCAGGCCAACACAGGTTGGAGTGTCTGTAGGGACTTAAGATTTTGATTAGTAATTTCAGCTAATTTGTCTTCTGACAATCTTGGAACCAATGGCGGGGGCCTCCCAAACATGGCTTTAAAGGGGGAAATTTTAGAAACATATGGGGTATATCTAGCTCTTAACAGTGCAAAGGGAAGAAGGCTCATCTAATTATTGCCAGTTTTTGAAGACAGCTTAGCTAAAATGTCCTTGAGACTTTGGTTCATACGTTTTATTTGCCTTGAGCTATGTGGCTGATAGGCACAGTGGAGTTTTAATTAATCTTTAATGTCTGGGCTAACTTTTGGGTGACTCGGGCTATGAAAGCCAGGCCATTATCGGACCCCATTGATAGGGGGAGGCCAAATCAAGGT